ATTTTATCCTGAACAATGCTGTATTATGATTCTGGTTCTCCATGTATCCCATCTTAGAAATTTTGAGATTCAGAATGACAACCTGTCTATATAGACAGCTTTCTTGGTTTCTTCACTCCCTTCAATTCTAAAATACCTCACTACAAAGAGGATTTCGGCAAAAAGCTGCCACAGCTTAAGTCTATATCAGAAGTACATCAAAGCATCTAAAATCTGATAGATATCTGAAACTGAGGGAAAAAATAAATTCTCCAAATAATGGGAAATATAAGTAAAACAAGGGGAGAGAAAGAGAGATCTAAAAGGATGTGAGATGGTTTGGGGTCTTTCTGGGGTAAAAATCAAGATGTAAGCAAATAATAATGAGATTAAGAGATGCTCCTACCAGATACCAAGAGCAAGGAAACAATGGATCAAAAGACAAAACCAAAGATAATCTTGAAAACATACACGCAAACAGACAAACACGCACACACTCTTACACTCACAGAGGGCCAAGAACTGATTAGTTACAGGTAAATCTTTTCTTCCTCATCAATGTTTTTGAAAAGAAAGGGAGTCTATTTTTCTTTTTTTATAAGAAAATATTATAAAAAGATTGATAACGATGATTTCATACCTGATAATATTTCAGCTGCCCATTTAGCTCTTCCAGATGCTTATCATACTCAGTAATAAGAGGAGCTAAAAAGCTAAAGAAAGATTACAAAGTTAAAAGATACACATTCTGTTTAGTTTAATAAATATGTAACATGAAATAAATTAAACATCAGAACTTTTATTCTAATTTTATCCAAAGCAATCAATACTTTGCCTTTTTCTTAAACTAGAGGTTCTCAACCTTAGCTCAGTATTTTAGGCTGAATAATTTTCTGTTATAGGGGCTGACTTGTGCACTGCAGAATGTTTAGCAGCATTCCTGGACTCTACCCATTAGAAGCCAGTAGCACCCTTACCTCCCACAGCTGTGACTAAGCAAAAATGTTTCCAGACATTGTCAAGTAACTGGAAGGAGAAGGGAGGCAAAAATCACCCAGCTGAGAACCACTCTTATAGACTATAATACTAGCTTTTTTTCCTTTGTCAATTCAATGACAGATCATTTAAACCTAATTACACCAGACCATAAAATAAACATTACTAACACTAAAAGGATTATTTTAACAATTAAACATAATTGGCGGGGGGAGGTATAGCTCACTGGTGGAGTGCATGCTTAGCAAACACAAGATCCTGAGTTCAATCCCCAGTACTGCCACCCCAAAATAAATAACTAAATAAACCTAGTTACCCCCCCCAAATAAAGTTCTGCTTCTTAAAGCAAAAACAACAACAACAAAAGACTAGAAATTGACACGACTTTGTAAACTGACTATACTTCAATAAAAAATATATATATACAGGAGAACAAAATTAAGAAAATACTATTTTTCTGGTAACTCAATCTCACCTTTGATCAACGACTGAGTTTTCCAAGGTGTCATCTCCATCTCTTTTGAAGACAGCTTTCTATAACAGAAAATACTGCATCTTAAAACTTTGTTTTCATTCACCACTCTAACCAAAACTGACAGTAGTTTAAAATTAAATACAATTAAAAATTTTATAGCCTTAAAAAATCTGTTATTGCAATTTCAAAAGAGAGAAAGAGAAAAAAATAATCATCTTACCTGATGCTTTAAAAAATGTATTTGGTAATTTTTAACACTTATACACAATAAAAACTCTTGGTAAACTAGAAATAGGAAACATCAGAAGTACTGCATTAAATTCAGTCATACAAGGCTGCTCACTATTACTGTGAAAATTCAACATAACACTAAAGGTTCGTCAATGGAATCTGTTGGGTGGATGGTGTTAGGAGATCTAAAGGTTGAAAAGGAAGATACAATACTAACCTCATTTACAGACAATTTGACCATTTACCTAGAAAACACTATACATAATCTACCAATTATTCAGACCAATAACAATGCATCAAGTCACCAGACAGAAGATCAGCAAAAAGAAACAGCTGCTTTCCGAAATACCAGCATTAAACAAAATGCAATAGGAAAACTATCGGATTCCCTACTATACGACAGTACTTGAAAATAAAATTTTTAAATGTTGTAATAACTTTATTGAAAAATTAACTTTATTGAAGGACATAAAAAAAGGGAACTATATCATATCCATGTGTGGAACAGTCAATATTATAAGTACATCGATTCTTTAAAATTCACTGCAAGTGCAATGTAATTCAAAAAAAAAAAAGCCAATGGAATAATTTATGAAACCTGATCTTAAACAGATATTAAAGTTCCCATGCATGAATAAATGTGCAAGAATAGCCAAGATCATCTGGCCAAAAAAAAAAAAACTGTAATACTAAAGTAATTAAAACAATATGGTACAGACACAGTACCAACATTATAGAAAATTCAGAAATAGACACAAGTACTTATGGAATGTTGTATACAAAAGAAGTGAAATTATAATTGATGGACAAAGTACTGCTTTTCAATACTAGTGTTGGGCAAAAAAATAAAAGTAGATTCTTGCACATACCAAATGGAAAAATAAATTACAGTTAGATTAAAGATCCAAATGTTTTAAAAAATACTTAACAACTATTGAAACAAAATGTATTATTAACCTTGAGATAGAGAAAGCTTTCTTAAGCTCCAAAAATGCAGAAAATTTTGTCTGTTTTGTTCAATATTCTAAGCATTGCCTGGCATCATCTCACTCAAAATACATTTTCTAACTGTAAGACATCAGCAGTAATAGCTATAAACAGAAAGACTACTATATTTTACAATATCCAAATTTAACAGTTCTATA